TGTGTGTGTGTGTGTGTGTGTGTGTGTGTGTGTGTGTGTGTGTGTGTGTGTGTATGTGTCTGTGTGTGTGTACCTGTTTAGGCATCCTTGTGAGGACCAGAAATTGGCATTCTACTGTACTTGTGGGGACGCACATCATGAGTTTGAAAGCATTTTTGAGGCTCAAAATGTGGTTTTAATGTCAGGGTTATAATGGTTAGGGTAAGCAGCTAGAGAAAGCGTTATGCCAATTAGATGTCCTCACTAAGATAGCAAAATGAGAATGTGTGTGTATATATAAATAGATAGAGAAGTGTGTTGCTTTAAGGGTTTTTTAAAGGAGACAAAAGCCTATAATCGATTCATTTTGATCTTGAAATGTGTTTAGCAGTTAGCACTGCTGCTAACACTAAATGTGATTAAAGTAGTAGTTTAACTATTTTTAGCTTGCACTTCCTTTACTGAAGGAAAGCTTGATCATCACAGTATAACACAAACTGGTCAAAATGGTTTCTCACCGTTCAATCACAGGCATTGTCATTTATGGATACACTTCCTGGAAGTGATAATAACTGGAATTTCTAAACTTATGTTTAGAGAAATTGTTGAATGCTAAATGCAAAGTTTCCTGGCTTTCAGAGTATTTCTTCTTGGTACAATCCTTCCAGTTGGACTGAAGTTTCTTGAAGGCAGTTGCCTGGTTTATCTGGACTAAAGAGGGTTTTTTTTTACCTTTTTTGTTTGTTTGGGTTTTTATTTTGTTTTTTGTTTTTTATCATTTCTTTTCATTTTCTGCTTATTATTGTCCCTATCTACTTTTTTTCCATCTTTGTTGGAAACTCCTTTGTGAATTCTAGTAGGGTGCCTAGGGAGCAGTAATTATTCATGACAACACAAACCCCATCTCCCAAATCCCTATTTGCATATTCAGACCTAATCAACATGAAAAATGGTCATTAAAGTGAATCCGGATAATTACATTTGTTTTCAACCTCTCACGGATCCTGTTATCAATTTTCACCTTAGCATGATACAACTTAGTCACCGTTTTCACTCCCCAGAGGTGGTCTCAAGCTTATTTCACACCGCAGCCACATCACCCATAAAAATCTCAGTTCCCTTTACCCTTTTCATGAGCCCTTCCTGCATTTAAATATATTTTTTTATATCCTTATCCACAGATCTGGTATTTTCCTGGATCTTCAATGAGTACCCGACATTTGTGAAGCAGGATACGCGTCGCTTCATCTCCCAGGAGACAGGGAATCTGTACATTGCTAAAGTGGAGCCCTCAGATGTTGGCAACTACACTTGTGTGGTGACCAACACCGTCACCAAGACCCGTGTCCAGGGCCCGCCCACTCCACTTGTGCTCCGCAGTGATGGTGAGCTCACACTTATGCCAGTTAACAGCATATAAGAACACTGGTTAGTGCGACAAAAAGGTTTTACTGTTTTGTGATAGAATTTATAGACTGTTGGGGTACACTCAAAAATGATTCTTCACCCTCAAACATCAGAACAGTCATTTGAGTAAAATGTAACTAAAATATATATAAAATTAAAGGTTTATTTATGCATGGAATGTTTTGGAAAAATTACATATAATTAAATTAGTTAAAGGCAATATTGGGCAGTATGTAGTCACTGATTTACTTCATTTCCTAAAGTATGTGCTGTGTGCTTCATCATTCTGCTGGGTCTCAGTCTATTACTCAACCTTTGGAGCAAAGCAGGGTTTATGAAATAATCATGAAACATCTCGTGTTCTACAAAGACAAACCATTAGTGTTTTTCTTGAATGTTTGGTTTGATAACAGATTTCTATTTCTGTGGTCCTTTGTTATAAAAACAAAACAAAACTGCAGTTTCTTTGATACAACAGGAAAGCCAGAATCACTTGGCTGATTTAGTGCAGCGCTCTTTAGAATTTGTACAGGTCATACCCATAGTAGCAAGCCAACATGGCTACTGTTGGTACCTCCCAAAAAACTTTGTTTCAAAGAACACGAATGAAATTCAAAGGTTAATTATCTCCTCCTCTGCTAATTTCAGCCTGTCCTTTTACATGTGGACCTAATGCTTAAGGCTGGCCTTATCAAGCCACTTCAGATGAAAGGTCATTCTCAGCAAGTAATCTAATTGTAGGCTTCTATCCCAGAAGCATGTTCCATATTCTTAAGTAATGCTGAAAAATATGAGAATGTCATAAAGGACATTTAATATAATCTTCCCAATAATGATAGATGATTTGATGTAATAAAAAAAACGACATTTAAGTAGGCAGAATCACTTCTAATCACAACGCACACTTTAAGCTTTTTTTACATGACTTACATGCTATACTAGCTTTAATATTAATGTTTAACTCAGTTATAATAACCTATGATTAGAAATAAAGGCTTGCTTTGATTTACATTAATGACCACTGGTCATGAATATTAATATGTGTTAATATTAATATTGTTTTAAGTTTATGTTTGAAACTTAGTTTCAGATTGTTTCTAAGGTCGATTTCCAATATTTCGATTTTGTTTTAATCATTTGAAAAAATGCTTAGTTTAAGTGTTAATTTATTTTTAGCATGAGGTGCCAAAAAGAACCAAAATCAAACTCTTGACACAGAACTTCATGAATAAAAACCAAACCTTTATTCAGGCTCTGTATGAAGTCAAAGTATCTTAAACGATTGCATATTAGGAATAGCAAACAGAGAAAACAGCACAGGTTTAGTACACAGAGAACTTGACAAACGACAAAGGAAGACAGCAACTATATACATGACTGTGGCAGAGCGGAGACACCTGGGAAACTAGACACAGCTGAACTAAATTAGGTAATAATTAATGAGGAAGTAAAACTGAAATGACCATCAACATTAAACAGGAAGTAACATGAGACAGAGATGAAGCTTCACAAAAAATTACAACGAGACATTTGGGAGGCTAGGCTAAACTAAATGAATGATGCAGCTGGTATGAAATCTACACTGGGGGAAAAACAGGATAGAATGTAACAACAACTAAAAACTAAACACTGAATGAGACGATGAACTGGATATAAAATGAAATAATAAATAGAAGCCAAGACAAAGGAAAACTAAAGCTAAATATGAAACTGACAGTTACAGAAGTAAAGAAACTCTAAACAGCAAACGCTAGGAAAACATCATCAAACAGAGAATTTAATAATAACCCTGAATTCAAAGTCTAAAACATAGGGTTCAAAACGACAGGACCATAACTTTTTTATATAACATGAAGTATTTATTGCATTAAGATGTAATATGTTTATAGTAAGTTCACAATGTAGACACAAGGCTTCATGCCGTGCAGACGTCCCAGTCTCCAGGAACAGAAACAGCCTTTCCAAACCGGAACTGACAAGTTCAACCAAACTAACAAAGACTGAAAGCAAAGACATACTCACTTTATTTTTGTTTCATTGAAGGACATGTATTCCAGTTAGTTTTCATCTTTTTTTTAACTAAAATGTTTTCCTCACCTAGTTTGAGTTTTTCAGTTTTTAATTAACTGTTATAACCTTGATGGTTTTAAGTAGAATTTTCTATGAATAAGTCCAGTATATCAGTGTATTGAGTTTGAAAACATTTAAAGGGAATAATGTTTTTATACATAAACAAACACAAATAAACTTAAAAGATAAACATTTTGAATGATTTAATAAAGACATTTCCCCGAAGACGCAATTTTTACATTCATAAATATAAAATTACTTTTACCTGCAATTTTGCTGTTTTATCCAGTGTTTGTGAGTATGCACACTAATTTAATAGAAGTCGCAAATAAACACAAAATGTTTTTTTACATATTATCTTATTATCGTCTGTCGGACTAAAAAAAGTTGATGAAACTAAATCTAATATCAAGAAGACGGCTAAGCTAGTTGGTCAGTGGTGAGTCCAGCAGAGATTCCAAAGCACTTTCATTCTCTGCTTCTGCACTTTTTTCATTACAACATTAGTTCAGCACAGCAGCAACACCAACATATCAGGAGTCAGCTCTACCTCATCGTCATGAAGTGGAGCTCAGGTAGGGGATGCGGGTGCGGGTGGGGTGGGGTGTGGGGGGGTTCAGGTTGGCACATTAAATATGTGTCCCCTACAAAAGGTTATGGTATGAGACAATTACCCGTCCACTTCCTCCTGTCTGCTTTAATATGGGTGATAGTGCTGTGGTTAAGTTTCAGTGACAGTTGTGATAAGGATCTGAATGAGCTTTCACAGTCACTCAGGGAGCCATCCTGATAACACATGCCTCACCAAATCAACGAGATGAAATTGGCCTGTTTCCTCCATCTCTAGAGCTATTTGTGCAACACAGCCCTGAATTGCAGCAAAGGGGGAAAAACCTGTTGTTACATTGGTGGATGACAGTACCTTAAAACGGCATTTCGTGCACCCGTGCTGAGCGCTGGCAGAGCTGGGAGAAATGACAGCACGCCAAGTAGCAAATTCATTGATGTAATTTACCTCAGTGTCGTTTTAAGGGAAACGAATAAAATTCACAGGTGCTTTTCTTTCCTATGGATGTAAGACACGAGTCTCAAATACATCTATACCAAAGCCAGAACAGCAGAAAATCCACATTCTGTCTTCTTCTCTGCCTATCCAGAGATTTTTAGCATGCACAGCAGCAATATTATAATCCACCAGAGCTGCTTCACCAACAGGAAGCTTTGTAGACACAGTGGCAGCACCCAGGGGGATTTTATGGGCCCATTTTCTGGTTCATAGCTGTTAGCGCTACAACAAGATGAAACTCATCTGGATGTAAAAGCTCAAACCGTCTATGAATTCTCAGTCTGTTTGTTGTTGTTTTTTTCTTTTTTGGGTTTTGTCAGTTGAACATCAGCGTGTCGCATGTCCACATGGAGAGAATATGTTTTTTGCTTTTTCTTCTCATTACTTTCAATGGGAGGGCATCCTGTGACAATGCTGAGAGCAGTGCTGGTGTCTGCTGCTCAGCATGGAAGTAAAAAAAATAATGCTGCACACAGAAATGTTTTCAGCTTTTGGGTAGCAACAGAAGAAACCACAACGCTGTATTTTTTAACTTCTTTTGCCTGACTTGTTAAACTTGAATAAAAAAAATCTTTCTTTGCACTAACACTCATTTGCATTTCTCTTTCAGGTGTTATGGGTGAATACGAGCCAAAGATTGAAGTTCAGTTTCCAGAGCTTGTTCATGTTGCCAAAGGATCCACTGTAAAACTTGAATGCTTCGCCCTGGGAAAGTAAGCTCACTTTTAGTACAGGCTCAGCATGCTCACGACCATTTAAAAGAAATATGTTGTGAGAAAATGTTACGTTTTCGTAACGTGTGCTTTGCCATTTCGCTACAACCCTGGTATGTTTCAAGCCTGGCTGCACATCTGACAAATTCGAGAGTGTTGTGGTGTAAGGATCTTCAGCTAAAATATACAGCTTTGTAACACAGTGTACTGAAGCACAAAACACACGGCTAAAGTAAAAAAGTGCTGAACAGTTACACTAAACTCTGTGGTGCTAGGTTATTTTTGCAGCTTCACATCCACAGAGAATGAAATCCCCACATTAAACTTTCATTCAGAATCACCATCAATTGCCATATTTGTTGTTGTTTTTTTGTCTCCAGTTTTGCCTCTTTATCCACCACAGTAGATTTCAGTTCAAACAGTCAAGATGTTGATTAACTTTTTAACTTTAATTCAAATTATTTGCATTCACTGCTTATGAATTACAGCATTTTTCTATTCACAGTCCCCCACTTTCAGTTCAGTATTTACACAGTTGACTGATAGTGACTGATGTTGAGGGATGCCATTATTAGGCTGAAAAAAATCAAATCAAATCAAATCAAACCAACCTATCAGACAGGTTTTCAAAATTTTAGAAGTAGCCAAATTAACAAAGTAGAAGCAGTGCTATAGTATTAGCATGTATGGCTGCCAATAGAACTGGGTCTCTAGTTTGGATTGGTGTAACAAACAAAGTAGCTGGATGAATTATGAAGTGTACAAGGCTATACTCTGCTCAGCCAAATAGTGGGCATAGTTTGGGGATGGTCCCTTCCTGTTCCAACACGACTTTGCACCAGTGCACAAAGCAAGGTCCATAAAGAGATGGATTAGTAAACTTGGTGTGGAAGATCTTGACTGGCCTGCACAGAGTCCTGACCTCAACCCAATAGAACACCTTTGGCATGTATTAGAGTGGAGACTGCAAGCCAGGCCTTCTTGTCCAACATTACCGTCCTACCTCACAAATGTGCTTCTGAATAATGTTCAAATATTCCCATAAACACACTCGTAAACCTCGTGGAAAGCCTTCCCAGAAGGGTTGAAGCGGTTATAGCTGCAGAGGGTGGGTTGATATCGTATTAAACTCTACGGATTAGGAATAGGATGTCACCAAGTTCATATGCATGTGAAGGCAAACGAGCAAGGCTATGAAGACGTTTCTGCAAGAAACAGTAGACTAGAGCAGATGCAGTTTCTATATTCAAATTGATATTTTTTGTACCATAGAATATAACAAAGGCATCAAGGTTACATTTTATTTAGTTCATTCACCTAATGCACTTATTTTAACTCAGTGTAGGAGTCTTTGCCATTTATCATCAGCAAAGCTTCCCTGCTCTCGGTTTTATTGTGTGCATCTCCTCACATACATGGAGTGGACCAGAGGAACTCGTCTGCAATAAAAGTTTCTCAGCAACTGTTAAATCATAAAGAGTGCGAGAAAGGAGAGGGAGAGGACGACGGTGACTCATCATCAAACGTTTTAGTCGTCATCTTTTGCAAACAAACGTAGCTTTGGTGCGGCACCTTCAAACAGCGCAATCAGCGCACTACTGCTGATGCCTGGTGTATTCACAGAACAACACACAATTTAAGTTTGTCAGTATCCAGTATCACATCAATTTACAATCCAAATATCAGATCAGTGTAAACCTAATGCTTCATGTATACAAGATACCTTTCCACATAACAGATACTAATATATGCAATCTGCTTAGCTAGATGATTTGAACGCCATCATGTTCTTTATGAAAATTATGGTGCAGGACATTTACAGGGTAAGCCATCTGAATTTGATCCATAGTTCGCAGAGTCTCCTCTTGAAGCTTGGATCTTATAGATTTCAATTCAAGGTTAATTCGAGCACAACATCCACCAGTCTTGAAAATTACTGAAAGAGTGAAGTATGACTCAGTGATGGTTTTACTTATAAAAAGAATACTTTTTAAAATTTTGCTTGCAGATAATTGGTATACACGCTTTCTACATTCTGGCAGCTCATACTCTAATTCTGCTTTATCATTTCCAATAAAGGTAAATGCATATAAACATTTTTGTCTCTTGTGTCACCCTACCAGCTTCAAAAACACATTTACCTCTCTTCACAGCCCAGCACCTTCTATAAGCTGGAGGAGAGTCGACAATGTGCCATTCCCTAGGAAAGTGGACATGAGAAAGGCCAGCGGCGTGCTGGAAATCCCATATTTCCAGCAGGAGGATGCCGGCACATACGAGTGTGTGGCTGAAAACTCCAGGGGAATGAACACAGTGAAAGGAAAGCTCTCTTTCTACGGTAGGTGATCCAGTCGTGCATGAATATTTGACCACCGTGCACCACATCTGTCAGACCTGCTCAGACTGAAAGGCAGCAAAAGCAGACACAACTTTTTCTCGCAAAGCCGGCTGCGGCGATCAGCAGAGGCTCGGCGTGGCATGCGCGAGGAAAGAGGTTTGTTTTAACGGCACATCAAAATGATTAAAGGCCATCAGCCATGATGCCTCTAATATTTTGATCCAGATTAAAGGGTGATGTGGATGAGGCTGAGCCCTTGGATACGACCTTGTTGGTGAGCCTCGTATTGGGTTTCCACCAGATGGCATCGTGATTCACGTCCAACTTGACGGGAGATCAAAGCTGTTAAATGTACTATACATAGACCAGTGGCACATATGTCAGGGCCTTAATCTGCACAGCAGCATCTGGATCAACAGGAAGGGGGGTTAGGAGATTTCAGTCATTGTTGCTGACAGTGTCACAGTTGATGCCACACCCACTGAGTTCAGATAGTAGAAGTAGAGATTACCAAAGACTATTTAATTCCAAAATTAAACACCCACTGTGAGAAACACTATCTGCAAGTAACACACACATCTCAACATTTTAAAGGTTTTTTGCTGCTTTTTATTTTTGGCAAAATGATAAATGTGGAGATCTTGATTTATTATTTTGGCGCATATTTGTCACTCTTACATGTTTCAGATCACTGAGTAAAAGAACAGATGAGAAACAAAGACTGTTGTTTCAGTCTGGAAAGGTTTCCAAAGCCATTTTTAAGGCTTTGGAACTTCAGTGAACCACAGCGAGAGCCATTATCCACAAATCGAGAAAACCTTCAACAGGATTGGCCGACCAACCAAAATTACCCCAAGAGCTCATTGACGACTCATCCAGGAGGTGTCAAGGCGAAACCACCGCTGACCCAAAAGAACACAAAGTCTTGCCTCAGATTTGCCAAAAACATCTCGATGATCCTGAAAGGTTTTCGCAAATTACACCTGGTGTAAAACTACCACAGCGTTTCATAGAAAGAACATCATACCAAAAGTCAAATATGGTGGTGGTAGAGTCGTTGGTGCTTCAGGACCTGGAAGACTAGCTGTAATTAATGGAACCATGAATTCTGCTCTCTACCAGAGAAACAATTCATTTCCTGAAGCTCAAAAGCACTTGGGTTATTTAGCAGGACAATGACCTGAAACACACCAGCACGTTGAATGCAAGTTGAACCTCTGAATGCCTTTAAAAAAACAACCTAAATGAAGACTAGAGTGGCCAAGTCAAAGTCCAGACTTAAATCTGATTGAGATCTTTTGGGATTAACTTAAACAGTCAATTTCTGCTCAAAAACCTTTCTTCGGTGGCTGAATTAAAGCGGTGTTACAAAGAAGACGGGGCCAAAAGACTTATTGTGAGTCATCACAAAACTTGCACAGTCAGTTATTGGATTTAGAGGGTAATTAATTTTTCACACAGGACCAGGTAGGTTTGGGCAGCTTTTTTCCCTTAATGAATGAAAACATCATTTAAAAACTTTTATATTTACTCCGGTTATTTTGACTGAAATTAAAGTTTGTTTGCTGATCGGAAACATGTAAGTGTGACAAATATCCCCCCCCCCCCAAAAAAAAAAAAAAGAAAAGAAAAAAGTATGGAAAGGGGAAAACTTTTACAGCACATAACCCCAAAGGATTTATAGAATATATATCCATCTTTCTGTATGCTTAATCATGCTTTTGTCCTTTTTCCCCTCAAACTTCTCTGAAGTTATCAAAGAGGGACTGAAACTTAGGGAGAGAGGAAGGAAAGAAAGAAAGAAAGAAAGAAAGAAAGAAAGAAAGAAAGAAAGAAAGAAAGAATTTAGAGTATTATTTGTGTAGCCACACTGTTAGATAAAAGAATTCTAGTAAAAGTCAATTTATGTTCCTACAGGAAGAATCTGTGTCCAGGTGCCTATGTGTACCTTTTGAGAGGTCAAAAAGGTAAATACATTTTCTGAAAGAGTAAAGGGTACATATTTGCACTGTTTCTCTTAGATTTTATGGTACAGTATCCAAAGACAGTCCGTGTTCTGCCAAATACAAAAAGAAATAAGGTTAAAAATAATTTTACTCTTAGGTTTTAAGGCTATACTGAATATTTAAGTCAGATGAAAAGCATGTAATCCATTCTGACAAGTTTCATTCTGTATCCATCATGTGTATCAGCTGCGTGATGGTTTTTCTCCTTGTGCGCCGCATTATTCCTGCAGTCTGAAGACGTGTGTTAGAAGTGCATGAATAAGTAAATATAAAAGATCTAAATTTTAAATGAAGGGGAACCCTGTACCCAATTTCTGACTTTTTTTTAAAGTTCTGGTTTTATACCGTTACATAAATTGTTACCAGAGGTTAAACATTGGTCTCTGCAATTCTATAAAAAATAAGTATCCCAGTGCTCCAATAGTTTGTAGCAGCATGACTTTGTCAGGCTCTCACACCGTTTAGAGGAATTTTGGTCCACTCTTCTTTACAAAATGACATCAGTTCATTGACCTTTGCAGGTATTTGTTTAAACATAGCTCTCTGAGAGCATTTTCACACCTTTTGTTGGTGTACTTTTCACACAGATGAAAATCCAAGTGAGCAAAAATGCGTCATTACAAGCCACGCGAGAATGTTCAGTCAGCTTACTGGGTAGATGTGTCCTGGGCTGGAGCAACAAAAGCAATTAGAAGAACATGGAGAATTTACATTCATTTCATGGCTAGTTGCTGGCCAAGAGAGACCTCTGGACAGCTATAGTAATTCAATTCAATTCAATTTTATTTATACAGCGCCAAATCACAACGACAGTCGCCTCAAGGCGCTTTATATTGTAAGGTAGACCCTATAATAATACATACAGAGAAAAACCCAACAATCACCCCCTATAAGCAAGCACTTTGGCGACAGTGGGAAGGAAAAAACTCCCTTTGAACAGGAAGAAACCTCTGACAGAACCAGGCTCAGGGAGGGGCGGGGCCATTTGCCGTGACCGGTTGGCGTGAGATATAGTACATTGCCACATCCTAGCATGCGAAGCATACATGGCTATGGGAAGTTTTTTTAGCTCAAACTTGCAATGCACATCTGGTACTTTTTCATTCATTCTGCTGTTTGCTTCTGTCCTTGGGACCATTGCCCTGTTGCATGACCCAGTTTTAACCACACTTGTGTTGAACAGATAGTCTCACTTTTGACTATATCGAGTTTATGGTCAACTCAAAGACTGTAAGATGCCTGGGTGCTGCAGCTGCAAAACAAGCCCAAATCATCACCCCTCCACCACCATCTATGCTATCTTTAGCAACATTGACCAAGAAAAAGAGTTTTTCCCCTGGCAACGTTTCCAAACAAGCCATATGTTTTCTGTACTGTCATGAACTTTAACATGCTAACTGAGGCCTGTAGCTCGAAAACACAGTGTTTTTTCCTGTTTCTCTGAACGTTGCGTGGCCTGGCTTTGTGGTGAATTCCTATGAAAGCATTAGGGGTGTACTTAGTTTTTCGAATGACTTTATCTTCAAATTGTATGTGTAAATTATCTTGGTAACTGTTCGAAACAGCTGCTAATGCAGTTTTGAATAACCAGATCAAACTGTGCTGTTACATTCATGTTTGCAGCAACATTTGAACCAGGATATTTCATTTCCACCAAGGTCTTTGAGACTGTTTACTTGTGCTTTTCACATTCTGTGGCGTTTCCTCCCACCTCGACATCTCTCTGTTTTCTTCCTTCTTATTTTCTCCCCTTCCAGTCCTGCTGTGTCAGCCGTCACAAATAACTCATTTGAGGCATTAAACAATTTGCCGTTATTTATAACAGCCCTGGAAGCACTTAGCCTCGCTCACTCTAACGGGCCAGGAGCACGCTGTGATCCGCCAATGCTTGATTCGTCCCTCTGAGCCACCTCTCCTCTCTCAGTTTTGATGGCTTTTGTCAGTCTCTCCCTCTCTCTCACCCCTGCTGTCTGCAGCCAGGTGATAAAAATCAGTAATCTTATTTTGAACTCCCTTTGAATTAAGCCTTTGAGACATTCGTCAGCAGTGTAAGCCAATGGGGGAATCGATAAGGGTATCTCTTGTACATCTAAGCAAGCTACAGTGAAAGGCGAGCATGGCTTTTGTGTTAGACAGGAAGGAATGAAGGTGTTACTTTATGGAGGCACATCGGTCACACTTTTAATACCACTCTTGATGTACTAAGAGACAGAAGCACTGCTTTGTTTTTCTCTCTAATACACAGAAAATGTGAAGGAGCTATGTTTGTAATACAACAGCATTTTTACAGGAGGTTTCCATCTCTTCTTTCCTGTCTTCATGTATTTTAATAAATAAACGATTTAGCTTGAGGCCAAAGCAGATTTGCAAAATCAGCTGCACCTTGTGATCATATTGTTTTTTCTCCTTATTAGTCATAATTCTGTACTGGATGAAGTTCCTAACAGCAAATCCAAGCCATAGACAAAAAGGTTTGTTAAATTTCCCCTGTGAAGAAAATGCTTTGAAAAGAAATGGGCTTTTGCTCACTTGCTGATGTCGATATTACTCAGAGGGGAAGTAAATGCAGAACTGTGACAGGTTAGTTTCCCTGTTGTGTTCCCATTTGTGTTTTTGCTGGCTTACCGCTGCATTATCTCGTAGTGATTCCACCGATAAGGCAAATTCCCATCTTTCCTCTGCTTTAGCCTCTTGACGTCGCACCTGATTGTTTGTGTGCTTAGCCCCGGTGCAGGCTGGGACGGGCTGCCGGCTTTCATTTGGCAAGCGTTTTCTGAGGGTCGATGCGCGCGCAGCAGGTGAGGGATAGAGCGAAGGATGCTGACAGCGAGGGGGGGGCAAAGAACAACGATGACAATGCGGCTCAGAAAAATGTGGTGGGTGGGGGCAGCCCAGTCAGACTCTGATGGAGAGCTGGTGTAGCATGAATGGATGTTAGGCTAAATAAGTGGTGATGGTAACGTTTATAGAAAGTCTAGTTTCACATCTTTCCCA